AGCCACCCTGGCCAAATAAAATTCAATAATATTAACATTTAAAATACTGCTTAAATAAAAAGGTCTTCGCCTGGCGCCAAAAAACAAATAACGACGGCGCCAGGCGGACCTCTCTGGGGAGCGCATTCCATAACTTAGGCGCCACCGCTGAGAAAGCCCTCCTCCGAGTAACCACCCTCCTAACTTCTTCCATGGAGGGCTCCCGGAGAAGGGCCTCTCCCGCCGATCTCAGGGGGCGGCTGGGCATATAAGGATGTAAGCGCTCCTTCAGGTAACCAGGTAACTAAACCCAGTGTAGCCTTTTTATATGTCTGGATTCCTCCCTAGGGATTGTGGTCATCATTTAGGCACATGTCTCGGCTAGGCCATCTTAGGTTTTGTTCTTCACAACCTTCCCCCCCTCCCCCCAGAATTTTCCTTCTCAAGGGATCTCTTTCAGGTCATCTTGATATTGCAGACCTATGTGTATTGTAAGTGCATGGTATCCATAGGGAATCTTTTCCCTGTAACTGTAGCCCATTTGCTAGTACATTTGGTGTTAAACACTCACAGGAGGATTTTAATTTTTTTACTTCAATTTTGTCTTCTCCCTGGTTCCTAGCTGTCTGTCTGAGGTTCACAGCTCCACTATTTGAACAATACCTGTGTTTCCCAATCTGTTTTGGGAATATCCAGAATCTCTTACCAAAGATATTAAAAGCCTCCTCTGGATTTAATTTCTTTACTTTTAAACTATATTTTTGCTGTTCCTTTCCATAGCTGTTTGTCTCTTTGAGGGGTTTAAAAGGGGTTATTAAGTAACTATTTTACAGTTCCCCAGGTGTATTCTTTAATCCAAATGACAGAGCCAGCTCCGAGCTCTGAGGGGATCATGACAATAGTGCATTCTTTGGTGTCTGTCCCCTTCTCCATTGCTGATTGACAGCAGCCTCGGTCTCCAAGCACCACTGAAGTTCTGCACCTAGCGGCCATTTGACATTCCCCAAACACCCCTCCTGTGGCGTCATTTTGGATCACTGTGGGAAATTGAAATAGTGGGTAGCTGCCCGGTGCTAATCAGAGCACAAGAAAAAGTTCAATGGGGCCTCGAGGTGTAAGTTAGTGATGCCATTGTTAAGTGATGCCAAATGTTGACACATTGCAAAAACACATTGAATCTGCTTCAATAATAATTTTGTTCATCTGGAGAAGGGATGTACAACTTGCTAGGAGATACCTAAACATCTTGTGGGTTGCATCCTTCACCACTGGTTATGCTGGCTATGACTGATGGGATTTGTAGTCAAAAACATCTGGTGAAATCCTATGCAGGCTGATAACTTTCATGGTTCATTTTTGAGTGTGGTATATATATGTATAATTGGGGGAGCACATCCATGGGATGGCAAAGAAGCAGGAGGGTGGGGAACAGGCAGCTGGCTGCATTTCCTTTTAGGAAGAAATGTGCTCTCAATATGACAGGTAGCACCCAGTTGCAGTTCTGTGGGTTGGTTGCATCTGTGAATGGGAGTGCCTTTTCTGATGAAAAATTGTTGTATGAGAGGGTCACCACCTTCCTGGTTTTACACCAAACACACTAATGACATGAAAATGATAGATATGACAGATACTTAAACGTGTGAACTCATGTGTGAACTCATATTTCAGCATCACCACCCTTCTGGAGGGAGAGGCCATTCCTGAACAGAACAGGGTTTGAGCCACAAACTGGTATTGCTTTTACCATTTATGAGGAGCTTTAAGGACCTAAAAATTCTATGTCGTTTTTCCACTGTTTACCAACTGCTATTGAACCTTGCTATACAAATGATGGGCTACCCTCGTCTCCCTCAAAAGGAGTACTTCACACCCTGTCCCCATCCCAGGGACAAATGCAGACGGGAGTACACCCCAGAACATTATATACTCCCCGTCTTCCCAGCTCCTGTCCTACCACTGCAGCATATCTCTGGAACTCTTCCATTCTTTTAAAAATGCAAAGCAAATCCTACCCTGACATTTTAATCAAGGCAGATGACATAGAATAACAGCCAAATCCACATAAAACCATTTAAAAACATCCAATTCATGCATCACTTTAAACATTACCAAACAGCCCAAAAAGACATGCGGGAGAGAGCTTGTAGCTACACCATTTAGCAGTGTGGGCAGTCAGTCAGCCCCCTTTCTCTCCATTTACCCTTTGAGCCAAAAAGGAAAAGGCAGAAGGACATGAATGCTCCAGTTGGTCCAGCCTAGTGTGGCCGGGCAGGTATATCTTTCATTGTTGCGTCTCTCCTCAGTTCCTCCATGGTCTAGATCAGTGGTTTGCAACCTTTCTGCAGCTGGGGACTGGCAAAAACAGGAAAACCACCTCGGGAACTGCTGAGGCAGAAACAAAAAGCACCATACACATAATATTCTGTGTATTAGCTTCCAAACACAATTAAAAAAAGAAAAGAAAATGCTCCAAAACAACCAGAAACTGAGCTACTAAAAATGCCAACAAAAGAACCATATACCAAAATGGGTGCAGCATGGTCCAGCTGTCTCCCGCCGAGCCGTCTCTCCCATCACTACCCACCCCAGCGGCACCAGCACCCCCCGCCCCACAAATGTGATGCCCACCGAGGAGGTGGTGGAGCACCGCCAGCCCCTGTGCTAGTCATGGCGAGTGAGATGCCCCCCCATGGACCAACAGAAAATTGACTGGGCGCCAGTCCGTGGACCGGTGGTTGAAAACCACTGGTCTAGGTGATCTGGGGTTCAATAACCAATAGAAAGAATAGACAGAATAGACAATAGACAGAACAATAACCAAAGGAGATCCCTGCTTTCTAGCTCCTTGCCAAGTCGGGCTTTTTTCTCTTTCCCTGTTCCCCATCTTTCTTTCAAATCAGAAGCCAGAAACCATGTTGGAGCAGTTTTAGGAGAGGCACTTCCCTAGCACATTCAGAAGTAAAACAGCACATTTCCCATGCTGTAATCCACAGGCAAAGAAAGAAAAAAATCCAGGATACACTGGAGTGCACAGCAGAGCGAGTGCACAGTTCTGCTACGGTTTCCTGCACAGCTGACTTTCAGCAAGCCAGCTAGTTACTGGGGTGTCTCCTTTTCCATTTGGAAAGTGAAGGTATTAGCATTTAGCGCTCAGGGATGGGAGCAAAACTGTGTGACTCACAAGTCCTGCATCAGTGCCTGGCATCATCAGGCTGAGCTAGCCGAAACTGAGGTGGAGGACGAGGCATGGTGAGTGTGCGTTCCTGGCACTGAGTGATGGGCCCAAGGAGCCCTTGAGCACCCCTCCGTCTACACTGTACCCTCTGTCCCACATCCTGTAGCGAGACAAGCCGATGAACCAGTAAAAAGGAACCCGGGACCCACTTCCTGAGTTACAAGGGGTGTGATGGGCTACACTTGGGGGCCAAAGACCACGCAGGCCCCGGGGCTGCAGGTGTTTAGCCAGCTTTTGCGTTGCATTTGTCTGGAAACTGGGCTACAGAGAGTTAATTTGGTGTAACTAGGCCAGCCCTCGGGCCTGTACTGCCAGGACCTTGTTTTGCCAGAGCTGGGCAGTACGCCAAGTTCCTTCTGGCTGCTGTATAAAGTTGACGTAGTCAGAGCAAAAAGCCTCTGCTGAACACATGTGACCACTTCCCCCCAGGAAAACTGGGGCATATGGGGGGGCATATTGAGGAGGGGCAGAGGGCTCCACTGGCTGGAAGTTGCTAGTGTGGCCTTGAAACCAAGAATTGTGATAGCAGAGAGGGGTGGATGATTTTGCTTGGCCCAGAACAAAAGAGACCGCGTGCGGTGCGGGTACCAGCCTTGCACCCACTTGTGGCCTTGACGTTGTTGGTGGAGAAGAGAGTACATAAGGAGCAATAGGAGGGGAGGTTTGAGCCATATTGTCAAGGCCGGGGGAGTGGGGGCGGGGGGAGAATCCCTGTCAACCTTCCCCAACCTGGTGCCCTCTGGAGGTTTTCAGCTACCATTTCCAGAATCCATTTTCATTGCCTACACTAGCTGAAGCTGATAGGAGTTGATGTCCATACCACACGAAGGAATCAAGGTCAGGAAAGCTGTTCTTTATTGTTTATGGCAGCAGCCTTTTGATTATGTTTGTGCCTGCAGCAAGTATGAGAATTTCTGAGAATCTTGATTCGTGGCATGTGGATCTTGGGCTCCTGTTCATGGGAACTGGCTTGTAATTAGAGGCATAGCAATCATGGGAAGGGGGTGTTAAACATACCCTGGAAGAAGGCGGTGTTAAACATGGGGAAGGGGGTGTTAAACATACCCTGGCAGGCATACCAGCCATTTGCAGTCTCCTGTGCTGGAATTTCTGAACCTTCCACTGACTGCCAATTTCTTTCCAACTTTTGCAATTGTCCCCCCATTCTCAAAGTTTGGAATGTCTTTCCTAAGACTTAGTTACTGGCTGTAAGAGCTTCTCACTAAAAATGCTGGCATTTTTGTCCCATCCCATCACCTTTGGACCCATCCATCACTGAAACATGCCCCCTGCTTCTCTAAAACTAAATTTTGTCCTTGGGTAGAAAGGAATTCCCATCCTTGCATTAAAAGAACCTGGCTGGAACAGAAAAACCTCTGCCTGAGATGTTAGACAGCCACTGCCAGTTAGTATAGATAATAACACTGGGCTTAATCATATGTTAAAAAGCCTGCCCTGGTGTGAGACAGCTTCCTAGGTTCCTACAGTTTTCCGGTGGTAGAAGAATTACCTAGTGGCATTGGAGTTCCTTTCCCTCTGAAAAAAGAGGGGTGTCATAATGGGGGAGGGTGCCACCGATGAACTCTCTGTTCCTGCGTGTCCAGCAAATCCTACAGCCACCCCTGGACGGAGAGCACTTCAGCAGCCAAGCCTGGTTTAATTTCTCCATTGCATGCTTCCTGGAAGGATCTGCTTCTGGCAAGCTTTGACTCTCCTCTATGCACAACGTGGCCACTGTTCCATCATATGGTTTTTAATATCTTGCTTTCTCCCTGCTTCTCCCTAGCCCAACTGGAGCTGTGACACACAAGAGGCTACCACTGCTCTCCTTGTATTGCCTCGGAAGATCCTGCTCCCAATCCCTTCACCTTCCTGTAGCCAATGAACTCAATGAACCCAATGAAACCATCGCTCCCACCCACCCCGCATGGGTGAGTACGGCTGAGCCTTCCTCCTCTCGCACACACCTTGTGCACATCTCTTTCTGTCTTACCCTTGGGAATACAGTGGGCTGGATGCATGCTGCAATTCCACACAAGAATTCTCTAGTTACCAGCGCACAATTCAGCATCCTGCTATCCCAGGTTTCGTTGAAAAGTTTTCCAGCCCTGACGATTACAAATGATAGGTAGACAATGGGTATCCTTCACAGCTCAGTGCAGAGAAAGCCTTAATTCCAAGGCTTAGTGCCTTCATTTAAACGGAGCAGGTCAAAGCCACCTCTGCCCAAGGACCTTGGATGTCTGTTCCCAGTCATAGCAGGCAGTACTGAACTGGATGTTTATATTGTCTGACCTGTTGTACTGCCCTGTATTCAGCAAAGCACCAGAGCCTTTGTCTGAGGGAAGCCGCCATGGAAACATGTTGTTCTGAGATGTTACAGCTGTCCTACCTGTGATTGCTGTTCTGTGACACACATGTCACGCATAACAAGCATCACCTGAGTAAACTAGAACTCTGCTGGTTTAAACCAAAGGCCCACCTGGATCAGGAATGCCCAGCTTCTTTCAGTCCATGGCCAGATTCCAGCTCAGAGAAGCTTCTAGGGGCCACATTACACTGACAGCAGAATATTTTTGCTTATGCTCTTATTGCTGGTGCATTTCATTCTTTTAGAAAGCCATAGAAAAGCCATAGAACCACCAAACCTTTGGTGATCACAAGAAAGGCAATATAACCAGGGGGTGGTAGGGAGACCATTTACAGAACCTGGACAGCCAGTTGAGGACACCTGATTTTGCCCATGACTCTGAAGCTTAACACGCCAATCTAGTCCCCACATCCTGCTTCACTTAGTGTCTCTCCAGATGCTTCATAGTCTTCCCTCTCGCAATTGAGGGCCAATGTGCTATGGTGGTTAGAATGTTGGCCTGGGGGCCTGTGAGGTCTGGGTTCTGGTTGCCAGTTGGCCATGAAGTTCACTGGGTGACTTTGAGCCATTCACTCACTCTCAGGCTAAACTACTTCCCTGGGTTTTTGTTGCAAGGATAAAATGGAATTATGTAAGTTCTTCGCAAG